GGATCCACTGCAAAGGTATACTGAACATTGCTTTTAAAAAATGCTAATTCTATGTGTTTGATATAAATAAAAGCAGTATTAGTTAATGAAATCTTAATGCATTTAACTAAAAAAAGTCTTCCAACAAGTCTATATTATAGATAAGACAATACTGTATTTTGCCAATGCAATTAATAATATAGACACACAGACTGCTATAGACATTTTGAAACTGCATATAGCATGATTAGATTTGCAAATGCTTCTGGTTCATGAAGTTCGTGTCTTGCCACTTCTCATGATTTATTAATTGAGACAGAATTAGTACTGGGTGAGTGGTTCTGCCTGCTGCCAAGAAGGGTTTGCTAAGGGTAAGACTCTAAAGGTAGAGATTAACTTGTCTTCATCCCTGTAATGTGCTGTACAGCCAGGATTTGTGCAATAGGATCAGAGAAGAGCCATATATGAATGTAACACTGGACAGCTGGTGTGTATGAATTTATATGAACCCTGATGCAAGATTTTGAGCTCCTCTCAAATCCCAGCTAATATATGTATCAGAAGTATACTTTCCCTATTCCCTCAGAGACCTTTTTTTGCTGATGTTGGTTTCTAATATGCTAGTTGTTATGAAAATAGTATGAACCTTAAGTACCCTAAATTTGACCTGCAAGTCAGAACCCCAGCTAAGTAACCAAAAAAGGTGTTTTTCCAAATGGAATAACATAGATTAGTCAAGTTCAGTATCTCCTCCTGACACAGGGTTACATACAAGTCTTTATATTAGGTTATTAAGATAACTATTTATCCCACCTGATCAATTCAATACCTCCCTGAACAGGAAATTCGAGGAAATAAACAAGTAATTTAATGCAGATAACATATACATACAAAATGTGTCCTTAAATTTAAACCATACTGATATTTTGACATTCAGCTTGGGAAAGTAGATTAGAATTCTGGTGGAAATAACATCTCAATGTTTTTTCCACAAATACCAGAGTTATTTTTATGTATCTAAGAAATCCAAGGTAAGTTAGATAGGATTGACTGGCACACCAGTGAAAAAAACAGAATGACTTCATGAAGCAACTCCAGTGAAAACCTCATTAAGGAATCAAACCCTCCTTTTGGCTCATGATGATTCAAAAAGTGGGTCAGTGGAAGCGGTAAGCTACAGCTTTAGTGGAAGAAGATACCAATGAACTTTCAAGTCATATTATTCCACGATTTTTTCAATGCTATATCTTTTCTGTGTCAAACCAGCAGACCACCTCGCCCACCTTTGCAAGGATAAGTTGCTTATGTGATGCACATTGCCTGAAGCGATGAATGTTGCCTGAAGTGATACTCTGTGAATCTTGGTCATCTACTGGATAATAATCTGTCAATAAATATGGATCAACTCCACTGTAGATGCTGCTGTATTCGGTACCCTACATTCAGTGAAAATGCTAGCATTTAAAAGAAAACCTCACTTTTTAAAAGAAAGATTTTAAGAAAGTTCTTAAATAGTTTCTGCTTCAGCTCTGAAAGGAGGCTATGTGAGAGACTACCTGTCAACAGACAGTATAACATACTTCACATCCAACACAAAATCCAGACTTGTTTTGGGAACTGCACAAACTATAGAGACAACACCACAGTGATACTGGTGCTACTGGCTTCTAACCACAGTTATTGCCACTTGGTTGTTGATAGATGTCTGTCAGAACAGGCAGGGTATATGGGATCCCATGTGGAGGTGGTGGATTTGGGTCAGAATAGATGGGTCTTTTCCCACTGGGTTTTCCACGATTCTACACTTAAAGTTGTATCAAATAATTTGTCACAGGTGTAATTTTAGGGGGGAATGTAGAAGTTCTAGGTAGGCCTGATAAAGTGTCTTGTATGTCTTTTTCCCACACAGGGACAGCTTTGCTAGAATAAGCGCATTCACATCTGTGATTAAAACAGGGGATGGAAGCATTCTAGCGGATCTTAAAAAGCAAAAGTGGTATAGCTTGTCAGTCATCTGACAGACAAAACTTTGTTAGTGTTAATACTAGCTTTTGAAATTTTGTTTCTGATTTACTGGAATAAAAAGGTTAAAACCTCCTGTTTTTTCTGTTATGTCTCTCTGGACCTCTGCTGGTTGCTTTGCATCTTCATATTCTCTAGTCAGGTGCACCAGGCAAAGGCCAAAGGCCAGGCTGTAAGGAGGTTAGCATGAAGTTTAAAATTGCAACTTTATTTTCCAGAGTATTTAATACATGGTCACTCATCCGTGAAAGGAAAACACTGGACCAATACGGTATGGCAAATACCATCATCCCAGTTGCCATCTATTTTTTGAGCTGCTGTAAAGTTTAGTTCAGCACTAAATCGCTTTAGTACTGAGCTTTAAAATGCTTTAGCAGCTCAGAAGCACTTTGGCAGCTCAAATGCTCTTCATGAAGCACCCAGCACCCTAAACCGCTTTAAGTCTAAAGTATCCTAAAAAAAAAAAAGCAAATGGAAACATGTCCAGTGGCACATGTTCAGATACATATGTCAAGAACAAAGGACATGGTGCTGTTCTTGGATTTGACAGGCTTCCTGCTTCCAGGAAGACCTGAATCTTGGCCAACACAGAATCTAGCATTTACAACATTTACAAATGTAAAGAACTTTTTATTTTGAAGGAATACCAGTGGTGTGGTCCAAGTATAGCCTCTACTCTCAGACTGAATGGCTGAAATAACTAACTTGCCTACCCTTTGGAAAACTCATTTTGAGGCCGAGACCAAGTATCTTCACCATATCAAGAAAATGGTAAATTCCTGAAGCATGTGAATTAGATTGGTAGCTTTCCCTTAAAATTCTTTGTAACTCATCAATAGGTCAAAGGCAATAAAAGGAGTTATAATGATTACTCTAATTTATAAATGGCTTGGGTAACAAAATATAGGATCTGGCTTCCATCAAATTTTGGATAATGAACAGTTTTTAAAGTTTGATTCTGTTTTGGAGAAGGACTGGCTGTGAAAAAGGAATTTTGGTTGTTCCTGCTTACTATTTCTAAGGATTTTCTGTATCCTAGGTAGCTGGTTTAAAGGTAAACAAACAACTTGGCAATTGGATCTGTCTTGTAGTCATAACAATGCTAACGTCTCAAGCTGCATTTGATCTCACTGGTACTTGTACAACACCACTGCCTTTGCAGTAGTTACATATGCACAATTGGTCCCACAGTTGGATTTTATCATGCCAACGCCATTAATCACAGGCATTGACTTTGTAAGGCTAGAAGCAGGGGCAACATAGTATAAAAATGAAAATATGTTTCAGCCTGCAAAGTAAGCAAGATTGGCATAAATGTGAAAATACATGAGAAAGACCTGAGCAAAAGGTAGTCAGAGTTGTCAGAGAAAGCTGGCATTTTAATGCAATAGCTTTATCACAACATGCTAAAGGCAAATTGCGAAGTAAGCCATAAAAAGTCAAACCATCAAAAGCTCTGCATGGTTTTGGCCATTTGTGCTTCAGAGATCACATCTTTGTGGAGTGATTATTAATATGAATTCAGCAGGTGTCAGCACTCAGCTGAAATGGAAGGTAGCTGCTGTCAGAGAATTTGTCAGTGATGGTTTCCCTGCCATGAGATTCACGTCCCAAACTAGACCCAGCAGAGAGGAGTCTGCTGCCCTTAGCAACACAGTCAGTCCTCTGTTTCTTAGATCTTGTTTCTCAATGATTCCTGTTTGCTGGCTTTCATGGAAAGGTTCAGAAAGGCATAATTCACTTGAGCTCTCTTGGCTTCGAGAGAATCTCTGTGCTTCTCTCTTTGTATTTCTAAGGTGTCCCTTGCTGTTATCTATACCAAATGCCAGCTGAACTCATGGAGCTGTAACTCTCTATCTACAGGATGAGAACACTTAAGCATTACATCTACCGTCTTTCAGAAGAGAGAAAGAATCCATTTTGTCAGAGCTAATGGGGAAGAAAATTCAACTCCTTAACTTCAACTTACTTTAAAAAAAAAAAAAAAATCCATCATTTGCTGTGCAAATCTAGTTTGAAATGAATGTACAGATGCCCTTGCTGCCTTTAAGCTAGCCTGCTGCGTCTGCCGACCCCTCAATTCAAAGCCTCCCACATAAGATAGCTTTTTAACATCCAGGCTGTGGGTTACAGGACTAATTTCCTTTATGACCTATCTGCACAAATAATCCTGCTGTAGATCGTTCCCCCAAAATCCTGAGCACGGCATACTGTGGTTACTCATTCCCCTGGTATCAAGATCATTTGTAATCTAGTCACCTGCTTCTTTGGACAGGCTTAGAAATCTGCTGATGCAATCCACCTCAATGACACTACAGCTATGCAACGAGTATTAGTTTTTAGTCTAGATTTCTACTCTTCATCTGGCTTTATTTACCAGTACATATATGGATAATTAATCTGAGCCTAGCTGTTTTTAATCACTGTGTTCATCACAACAAAGTATGTTCTTTTACCTTTTTTACTTCATTTGGCAGTCTTAAGGGGCCAATGTCATTTGGAACAGCTTATTTCTACCATTTCTTTCCATCTGTTTCACTTAGTTTACAGTAGACAGGGCTCCAAATTACAGTTCCACATTAAACCAAAGATACCTGCCTTCCCAAGTATGAAGCACATGTCACTGTTCTCAGGGCTGCTGTGATATACCAGGGGCTGCAGGCAAAAGACTTTGGCTTAATTACGTCCTTCTGAGCAGCTGATATTTCCCAACATCCTGACTTCCCTTGCATAGTAAGACCCAAGGACACTGAACAACTCAGTATAAACAAGGGCAACATTTGCATTGTCCTGAAAACGGAAAGTTTCTATATGGCAACCGATACAATCCACAAGCACTGAAGGGTACAGCTCTGACTGGCAGAAGGACTACCGGCTTGCCTGAGAAATAACTTGTATAACCTGCTCTGTTTCTTACATTGTTGAATGTCTTATTCTTTTCTTTGGGCCTGCTGATTCAGTTCTTTACAACAGAAAAGTTGTTGCTGTCTCGTTGCAGCATGACTCCACGAGATCACATGAGAAAAATGTCTATCCTGGGAGAACAAGGAACACTAGAAGAAAAGCACTTATACCGATTAGCAAGTGGCATGGCCGCAGGAGGTAAGCAGGAAGAAAGCTAACTGCGCATTTGGTTATAGGATTGCTAATATCTGTACAAAGTACAAGAAACAGCCAGCAACGGGTTTTAAAGACATTAAAGGTATCTCAAGTTTGTCTTAGGAGTAACTGGAGAAACATTTCTCTTAAGGTAATTAAAAGTTAACATGGGGGATTCTTGGCATTCAGAATTTGGTCAAGAGATGCTAAGCATCTGGAGAGTCAAGGTCACACAGGAACTCAGCAACAAAAGCCATAGCTGGACATCATGATGTTCTGGCTCACCACCGCAGGCTCTTCTTTCTAGAGCTGCTGTTTCATGACAAGGCAGGTTCCAGCTAATAAGATTTTTCTAAAAATAAAACCGTACTAGAAATGAAAACTCTCTCAAGCAGAGAACCTAACATTCTGTTTAATAGTGATATATGAATTATTGTTGATTGTAAATTGTCCTTTGGTACCCTTTACTGTGCACATCCTGTTTATTTTTACTGCAGTTACTACATTATTTAAACAACGTGGTTAAGGTGGCAGTGGAAATGTCTTCTTTTTTAGTTGTTGCTATTAAAAAAAAAAGGTGCGATTTGCTAACTCATACTAAAATGCTGGCACTTGAGAAAAAAAAACTATTTTTTTTCTGGTAAAGTTAGAAAGTGATTTGGTCTGTAGAATCACTTGCTACCTTGACAACAGAACTGTATATGCTTTGTGTCAGAACTGCGGCAGCGGCAAGAGATGCTAATGAGAAATCAGTTGATGGCAGTAAACCCTCAGCTAATGGGCACAGGCCAGCAGAGAATGCAGGCGATTCCCTCCCAGTTTGAGCCTCGACTGGTAGACAGGTATTTTGCACCATTTCTCTATTATAACACTGCAGTTAAAGAATAACTGTGCATGTGCTGTACCTGAGTGTATAAAGATCTTAGATTATTCTTAACTAAACAATGTCCTTTGCATATCTGAATGTATTTTTTTCCTCTCAGAGATCTGTTACCTTCAGCTGAAGTGATGGCATCAGCTGACCCAAGACAAATCCATATAGCGTCCCACCTTGGACCCACAGTCCCACAGCATGCAAACATGCCGAACATATTGTCCAACCGTGTTTACCCAGGCCCAGGTAATGAAGCACTGTCTGCATCCTGAAAAGTGATAGCATGTAAATGAGAAAGCAAACTGCACCTACTAGTTTTTCATAGGTTTATCAGTAGTGTCAGTAACAGTTATTTTCTTTGGAAAAAAGTCTCACTAAAAGGAGGCAGTCTGCCTACCAGGGATTCTAAACTGTGCCAGTTTAAGTCTAAACACATCCATTTTAGCTTTTAAGTACACTGTTTTCAAAATCATTTGCATGTTTGTCTTCTCGCCTTTTCCTTTTGTATTTTTCAAGCATTTTCACACCTAAACAGAAGGCTGTAGCTAAACAAAGGAGTCCAATCCACTACGCTTCCTACTACATTTAACTCTTGCTCATGTATGAGCATTGGCTGTTTTAAAAGACTACTTTACTGATCATATTATTTAATCGTAATATCACATGCCACTTTACTCATGTAGGGCAACTACAAGTCCTTTTAATAAAGGCTCAGAATTACAGGGCGCAGCTCTAAGGGGAAGGCTGGATATCACAGCATGGCAACACAACTGTGGCATGCATGTCATGCTGCACATAGATTTACGTATCACCGTATAGGAAGAGGTTATATCTTAAGGTTCCTTCTTTGAGATGAGTGAATAAATTCTCGATGCCACATAGATCTATAAACAGGAATTTCTGGCTTCAGCTTTCCCCCCACTAATGTGGATCTCAAATAAAAGATTCCCTCAAGAGGAAATATCATTTAAAATTACATGGCATCTAGGCTGGAAACAGTCTTGAAGGAGGAGGTTTGCTTTGCTTAACTGTTGGTTATTATTTTCTGAGCAGCTATATGTACTTCAAAGACATAAGTCACCAAATAAAACCACCCTACTGTCTCTTTCCTTTATGGATAATGGCAGGTATACCTAACTACAGATCAGATCCTGCAAACACCTGATGCCAGACTTCATGTTTCTACTACATATTCCCACCAAAGCAATGAACACAAATAGGATTTAACTTGAAGTCATATCAGCTTCCTGGCAAAGCACATAGTTGAAGTCTTAAAAAGCCTTTTAAAGTGTCTCTGCATTGCTTTGGGCTTTGTGTATTTGTTTGAGGAAACAAGTGAATTTTAAAGATTATTTTTCCCCCCCTCCCTTTAAGGATATAGCTTTCTGCAACCAGAATCCATGGAAGCTGTGGCCAGAAGACAGGAATTGGTTCAAAAGCAAAACATTGCCAGGTAATCAATAGTAAGCTTTGCTCTGAGGTGCATGCCAGGATTAGGGCAGCAAAGGCAGATAGAAATGATTAAGTCACAGACTTTTTGTGGGTTTTTATTTACAGTGATTGAGATACTTTTTCAAATCCCCCAGAGAAGCAGAGGGTCCTCAATTATCTCTGAAGGTCTGAAGCTACTAAGCTTTCTGCTTGCCCCTATTCTGCTTTTAGGCTTAAAATAATATAATAAAAAGAAACAAACCCTTCAGCTTGGTTAAAGAAACAAACAAGCTACAAACTTCAGCCCCAGCCCTTGAACTCTGGATCCAAACATGCTGAAGTTACAGAAAGTCAGAAACAAATTGAAACTTTACAGCTGTGTGCTATCACACACATTTTAAGCCCCTACAGCTGGTCTGTTGGGATAATTAGCTACATCTCCACCCTACCAGGGTGGACAGCTTTCCTAGTTTAACCAAATAGTCTGAATGTCAGGGTGACTACAGAGAGTCCAGTTTTTTGTACCAGTTTCAGTGTAATCAGTAGCTGGTTAAGTAACCACCAGTGCCCTGCCTCACAGCCACACCATTTTCATAGAGGAACTCTAATTTCAACCACACCTGCACTGGGCTTCAGCACAGTACTGAGTGGCAGCACCCCACACACAGTAAGGCTAAGAGCAAAGAACAGATAAATTCTGAGTAGGCATCTCAAGAGAATTATGACAGAAGCGCTTTGAGCTCTTTAGTCAGCAAAGCTTGATTACTGAATTCCTCCAAGCACAAGATTTGCATCAACAATGCATTTTATATAGCTCCTGCCACATGGCAAAAACCCTGAGAAAAACAAGGAAAATAGCTAGCAGCAAGCAAGGCCAGCACATATTCTCTCAACCACATCAGAGTTAATCCTACCTGTTCAAGCTCTTCCCTCAATCCACCAAACCCAGGAAAAGCCAACATAAAAGAGTTCAGCCTAAATCCATGAGAGAACCTTTTACCCCAGTCTTTTGCCATCCTGGCAATTTCCACTCACATTGCTTTCTGCAGCACATGTCACCTTTAGAGCTGCACTGGCTCCTTTTACCCTTTATAGAAATCAGGTGCTGGCAAACAATCTCCTGCACTTGCTGCAGCTGGGCTGCTGAGCACCTTGGCCCAAATCCTTGTTCTCCAAGGGACTCTGCCTCATACCAAAGCTTAGTGATCCCTGTCTGCTGGTCCTCAGAGGAGCAGACTATCTTATCTGGAGGAGTAGTCAGGAATGTAATGCTCTTTGCTGTTTATCTCCACCTCAAGAGCTGTGTGTGAATAATGACAATTAGGCAAGATGTACAAGGACATGGTACATAGACAAAACACTTCCATTGGATCTCTGAAAGCAGAAAACTAATAATTCAGAGGTTGTTGCAAAGATGAAAAGAGGGCAGAGAAGAAGCCCTGAATGTAATGGAGTGATCAACTAATTCCTCCTCGCAACAATCATCTGAATAGGTACCTTTTGCCCAAACTGTTTTCCTGACAATTTTACATTAATGAGAATTCTCCTAAAAGTCAGACTCTCTCTGACCTGTTATCCTCATCGCACTGTTAAGAAAGCTACCTTGGTGCACTTTAAAGACTTGGCTGCCCTCACAAGCCCTTTTCCAAAGAAGAACGTGGAAGTCCCACTGAAAGCTCCTCAAAGCAAGGAAGGCAGGCTGAACCTTTTCTGGTTTGTGTCCAGTAGACTGGCTCACTTCTCCCATCTCTCAGCTCCAGCTGAAGCTGTGGAGCTCTAGAAGCTATAGCTTTCTGTTTGATCACTAGCTTGGCTCCAGAGAAAGCTGATGCTAGCAAAGGTTGGTACAATGGAGACACATACTGCTCCTTGTATCCTCCGTATCTCACTAGTAAGCCCTCCTACCCACTATACCAGGGGCAGGAAGCTGGCACAGACCCTGGAGCGTTAGCTTTATCTACCAGGAGGGAGACTGGTTGAACACTGACCAGCAGGCTCTCACCCTTTCACACTCTCAGAGCCATACTCCAGTGCCAGGCACTATGGAGAGTTACTCAAGAGACTTACTCATATTAGCTTACTCCGAATGTATGCACAGGTTCCACAGATAACATAATTCTAGTTCTTTATCACTTACAGTATCACTGCCATTTTCCAGTTTTCAGTATAATTTTCTGATTGGTAATGTAAATCACTTATTTTCTTTAATCTTTGACCCTTATGACCCTGGAGACAATTTTCCAAATCCCAAGTGAGCATCATCACTGTAATAATGCCTGGATTGCCAATATACAAATAGCACTTTTTTTGTCTGAAATATTATCCAGAGGCATCAAATGGAAGATATATTTTCTCTTCCTTTTAGTTTATTATATGTATCTGGCAGCACATTAAATATAGCCAGGTTTGCCATTCCATCTGCAGTCTGTGACCTCTCACACATAGCAATACAGGGGAGAGAGAAGAAAAGCAGTACTCTTACCTACTCAACTATTCGAGTTTTAATTTGCCACTGAAAAAAAGAGGTGATGAAGGAACTGAGCTGCCCTAACTTCTTGTGCTCTTTGTGTCTCTTAGAATGGAAATGGAGATGAGTGCTATTTTTCAGCAAAAAGAAATGGAGAAAGCTCATCGGAAAGGGCTACTGGGCCTGGAAGCACCCTTCCTTTACCATGGGATGCCAGCTAGTCCCATTGCTTTCCGTGGCAGGCACAGACTACCTGAAGGCCATCTTCCCAGCGACTTATATGTTCATCGTACCACCCTCGATGAAATTCATGGCAACGCTATGCTCATGGCAACCAGCCCATACCCTCCAGTCAGCACTTTGCAAAGGGAGAGGGGACGTCGACCTGGGAGAAGAGCTGGAAATCACAAAACTGCAGAGTGTAGTGCCAATGGCACAAAGAACCAAGCTGATGACAAAACTACGGACCCCGCTTCAGCTGCAGCAGACGATGAGAAAGAAGACAAGAAAGAAGCAGAGGTGGAGACACCAAACAAACATGAACAAAGCAAAAACCAGACTGAGCCATGTGCAGTTGCCAAAAACTGTAAAGAGTTTGAACAAGGCTTGAGAAAAAACTGTGCTACTCATGAAATTTCTGCTGAAACCAACAGCTGCAGCAACACAAATGAGAAGGAACCTAATAGCTCCTGTGCTGCTTTTGATGACAAGTACATGTACCCTTCTGCAATCCCATTCTCAGCGTTACCATATGGATTTCCAGTACCCAGCAACCCATTGCTACCTTCAGGTTTGTGAAGTCTCCAGATTACAGTTAGAGTGGCATGTTGATATTATTTATTTTTATTGATTTGCTCTCTTATTTCTTCCCTCTGTTTTAAGTAAATTTTTGGTATGATAAAGTCATGGCAACTAAATGTAGAATTCATATGCTGCAAATAGTAATAACTTGGTAAATCCAAGTCAGCAAAGGTAAAGAGTGGTTTTCCCTACCTGCAAACTGCTTGCTGGCATAATGGAGGTTTCAGCATCTTAGGTAGCAGTGCTTTACTTTGCAGGACAATGCAGTTGCACAGCAAAAAGTCACAAAGCAGCCTCCTGACTGTTTCAATGCTCTGTGCCACGCACTATACCTTTGTAGGATGTCATCCTGTGTTTATATCAGTCCCTGGGTACAAAACACTTGTCACCCCTAAGCCGTCAAGTTAGCAGCACTTTGAGGTTCTCTGCAATTCTGTTCAACATGTTACATTCCCTCCTCTCCTGGCGGTCAGAGGGGAAGTAGCAGCACACGATATACTTATCATAATCCCAATGTGTGTCAAACAGGACAAGGAATCCCCTTAGAAGCTGCACTCATTTAGGAACAAACTTATCCCTGAGACTTGACCTCCCCAAGAACAGAGCGTAAGACACAGGCCTCTCCAGCCACTGTGCAAGAATCATTGTTTCTAAAGCTTTGCAGCTCTTGTTAAATGCACCAGTGCCAGCAGATGAGCCCTGCAAAACTTCCCATTACCTGAAATGAGAACAGGCTGGGGTGTTTGTCCAGGATCATCTACCAAAGACATACTGTATCACTGAAAAATATATAATGCACATTAAATATTAATTTCCTATCTGCAAAAGGAATTTCAATTAAAATAAACAAAATTGCTGAATGAAATGGTGAGCTAGCCTCTCTCTTCTGCCCATAACTTTTCTATAGTCCTTCTAACTCACAGTAGGCACTATGGGCTAGCAAAGGCTTGGTTCTGTTCTACTGAAATATTAGTCAAGTTAAAATAACACTGAAGTCTAAAGAATCAAAAGCATTGGATAATGTACTCATTAGAGAAAATACTGCAGTATGATTTGTATGTGTAGTGACTGGTACATACAGTGCCAGCAGTAAACAAAAGAAGCCACCAAAAGAAAACGCTCCAGAATCAGCTACTACTGACTATCTGGTGATTTTGGTGTCTAGGACTCCTGTATCTCTCTATGGCTACACACTGCTGTTAATATATTAAGTTCTGGAGAAGTGTAAAAATGCTCATGTTAACAGTCATTTCCTATTGATTTGGCCGCAAAGTCCTACAAACATAACATTTGTGTTTCCTCCTCAAAGGAGCACATGGCCTGATACTGAATGGAGAAGACATTTCTTCCATTGAAGACATTCGCAAGTGGACGGTTGATGATGTATACAACTTCATCGTTAGCCTCCCAGGCTGTTCAGATTATGCCCAGGTGATTATAAACATTCATCACATTTTCAGGTCTTTAGTACCATCCAGATTTAAAGGTCATCAAACAAATGTAAATGCTAGAGGTTAACTGGTTGTCACAAAGTTACAAACATAATAGTAGTTTTCATTGTGCTTCAACATAGGAAGCCACTTGCTTCTTGAAGGGAAAGGCAGTCCACGCTCTGAGAGGTTATATGCACTTCTGCTGCAATCTGGAGTCATTGGTCATGACACGTACCACGAGGACCAGCAGCAAAACAACAGTATAAGAAAAGTATCTTAAGTTTTTCACTCCACATGCCCTGGACAAATTTTATGCAGATTAAAGCAATTTTGCATTCTTGGATATTGGTATAACCCACCTACTGCCCCTGAGCTCTTATTGGCATCATTCCATTTGAAAAATGAAATATCATTAGAAATGCAAACAAAGAGGTTGAAATCTTGTATATTCCTGCTAAAGCCTTAATAAGATCAACACTATTCTTTCACTGGTAGCAGGTTGCTCACTTCCTAAAAAAAAAAAAAAAAAGAACTAAGTAACATTGAAACATTACAAAGTTCCCACTTGCCAAGAACAAGTAGATAAGCTACAGGCAAATGTACTGATATCCACACACCTAAACAAGAGACCTCATGCTGCAGTTAAGAGACAAATATGAAGACAAAACACTAAAATTATTATTTCCTCCTTTTATTGTCTATGCCTCAGGATTAAGAATAAAAAATAACCAGTGAAGTTTGTTTTAGCACACCATGATGTGTTTTATCGTTTCATAAGATATTTAAAGACCACGCTATTGATGGAGAAACCCTCCCACTGCTAACAGAGGAACATCTCCTGGATACAATGGGATTAAAACTTGGACCAGCATTAAAAATCCGCTCTCAGGTATGATCATTAAATGTATGCCAAAATGGCAAGTCACAGAGATGTGAAAGAGTCAGAAGCTAACAGGATGAAGTTTTTCCAAACTAAAACACATTTTTTCTCACTCATAAGGTCACTACCAGATTAGGACAATAGAAATTACTCCAGCATAGTTTGCTTTTGTTTCTCTGTGTGTTACAACAGCCTGCAGGGAGACACTAAGGGGAGGTTAGGACTGACAGTTTGAGAGACACTTCAAGTGGAGTTAGGATACCACAACACTGGAGACTAGGCTGAGGTTGGAAGTGGAAAAGACTTGTTTGATGAATTAATTCAGTTTCACTCATCTTTTCCCTTCCCAGCTGGTAAGAACTGCTCTGATACATACTTGCTTTTGCTCCAACCTGACTTTTAAAACATACCAAGTAGAGGTTTCTACAGCCTTTCTGGGAATACAATCTTACATGCTTCACGGACAGGGTGTCCCTCTATGTTTAAAGTTTTCTGCTCTTAATTTCATCCAGTAATATCAACTCTCTGTGTGTTTCTATTGTTGCCCAGTTCTTTCCTTTTCTTTAACCCCTTGCTGTCTCTTACTCTTCTCCCACACCTTCCCCGCTCCTGGCTGGCAGTTTGCCTCCCCTCTGTCCCATGGGCGCTACAGCACCTAGAGAGCAAGAAGAACCTGCTGTCAGGCCCAGCACTCTGGGCCGTTTCCCAAGCTGAGTATTGCCAAGCTCCTTCCACAAGAACCTGGGCCTAGAAAAAACATGAGAGAGGGAAAATAAAAGAGGGGTTTTTTCACTTTTGCTAACCATCGATAACCCTTTGAGATGGCTGGGATCTCCTGGATGTCCCTGGCATTGCTACACGACAGTCAGCCTTGATCTTTAATGGCTTTAACACTATCTCAAGAAGCAATTGCTGCAATTGTGCTTTTGTCTTTAAAGGTGTCTCGACGTCTGGGCAATGTGTTCTACATGATGAACCTTCCTCTGCCCGTGCCCCTGCCACCTGCTCCAGGCAAACCCTCAGATCAGCCCTCTGACATAGCCTCCCCTCTTCACTGCAATAGCAGTGGCGATATGCTGGATAGTCCCTGCTCTCAGGACCCAGAAACTTCAAAAGCAGTGGAACAGATCGTTTCAGAAAGCAGGGAAAATCCGTGTGACACAGCTGGATCTCAGGCTGACTTCCAGATGATCACTTTTCAGAAAAGTTGAGCTGAGTCCAGGACATAAAATGTTTTTAATAATACAGGAACCTCTAGTTACAAAGTGTTTGAGAAGATAGCTACAACCTGAAACCTCTGTGTGACTGGGACTGAATGAAATAAGCTGCAAATGTAGCATGAGGAAGTATGGTATCTGAAAAGCATTTAAAAAATGCAACTGCATGTTAGTGCAATTACTTTCAAGTGCAATTCATTGAAAAGAATACCAGTACAGTTAACAGGTACATTTAATTTTTCACTGAAGTCCAGTGTGATCACTGAAATCTGTCAGACTTAGAGTGCGCTGTCTTACAGTGTGTTCCTGCT